TCTCCATTTAATTTGTGATTCATTACCTCCGGTGATATACATGTCATATCAGAATGGGACCAAGCAAAACAATCTGCGTCAACTTACGTTTCATGTCTTGGCTGAGATTAGCCCCTATGTAGATTTTCCTTTCAGGCCAATGTACAAATAATACTACAGCCTCCAGTTCTTCGATCGTTGTTTTGATATTTTTTTTTTCTTCTGGTTCTTCAATGGAATCGGGCCTTGAATCTACATCTGTTCGCCCTTGTTCAGTTGAGGTTTGCGTTGTGGTATCCTCAACTGAATTCTGCAATTGCTATTTTTCTTCATTTCTCGTACTTGAATCTACTACGGAGTTGATGCTCCTGGATGTCTGTTGATCTCCACAAATTTGACATATTCCCCGTGTTGATGGAAATTTAATGACTCGATGTAAGGTCGATGGAACAACATCCATCTCGTGGATCCATGGCCTCCCTAGAATTATGTTGTAAGCCATTTCCAGCTCCACTACTTGAAACTTCGTATCTTTGACAACTCCTTCTGCGAATGTAGTGAGTATTACTTCCCCTTTCGTCACAACGCTGGAATTATCGAATCCAGACAAAGTATGCGCTGTTGGTACTATTTTATCTTCAGCTTGGATCTCAAGTAGTACTCTTAGTAGGATAATGTTCACGGAGCTATATGGATCAATCAAAACTCGTTTCACATTAGTGTCATGTATAAGTAAAGATATTACCAGTGTGTCGTTATGTGGAGTTAATACGCCATCTACATCTGCATCATCGAACGTAATGCTTTCTTCCTCCAAGACCCGTCGCACCCACTTCCCGTGGGTAATTGTGACTTTTGAAACTTTATTGGCTGCTGTGTACATCATACCATTGATTTCTTCCCCTCCGCGTATAACATTGATGGTTCTTTTGGGAGAAGGCGGTTTTGGAGGCTCCTGCCTATTCTTCATGTATGCTTGCTTACCTTTCTCACTGAATAATTCGGTGAGATACCCTTGCTTCAATAGATGATCAACCTCTCCTTGTAGCAACCTACAATCTGCCGTTTTATGACCATGATCATTGTGAAACTCGCACCAATGATCGGGATTGCGCATGTTTGGATTCGATCTCATCTCTTTTGGCCACTGCACCTTGTCACCCATGCTTCTTAAAACATCCACGAGCTCGGAAGTGCTTACATTAAAATTATAACCGCCAAATCGTGCCTTCAAATTTCCATCATCATCTCGTGACTCTCGTGTGTAACGATCATTTCCATACCTCGATGATGAGCCTGATTCTCTATTTCTGGATCTACGATCGTACCTTTACTGATCATGCTTTGACCGTGAATCTTTTCCAGCTGGGCCCGTATATGGTTCGTGCCTGTTTTTACCGACCTTTTTTCTGTTTTCGCCCGTCTTGAACTCACCTTTTCTTCTTTTTAGGACCACGAGATAATATCTTCTTCGATCCTTAACTTTGTGCTATGCCTGTTGTTAACATCATTCCATGTTGTTGCTGGGAACTCACGAAGACTTTCCTTGAGTCACCTCGTAGCTTCTGAGCTTTTTTCATTCAAATTACTAGTGAAAGCTATAGCTGCCCAATTATCTGGTACACGTGGTAACGTCATTCTTTCACGCTGGAACCTATCCACGAACTCTCCGAGCAACTCGGAGTCCCCTTGTTTGATTTTGAAAATATCCTCCATTCTCTTTTCGACTTTTTGAGCCCCCGAATGTGCTTTGATAAACAAATCTGCAAGCTCAGCAAAAGAATTTATGGAATTTTCGGGTAAAAGAGAATACCATGTTAAAGCTCCCTTAGTGAGTGTTTCGCCGAATTTTTTGACCAATACTGATTCAATTTCTTGTTTAGTCAAATCATTGCCTTTTACGCCAGTTGCGAATGCAGTCACATGGTCTCGTGGGTCAGTTGTTCCATCATATTTTGGAATATCAGGCATTTTGAACTTCTTTGGAATCGGTAGTGGAGCAGCGCTTGGCTTCCAAAGTTGCTGTGAATATTTGTCTATATCGATTCCTTTGATTACAGGCGGGACTCCAGGTATTTGCTCTATGCGGTCACTTTGTTCCATTAGCCGTTTCTGCAATGTTAGAACTAAATTTTGTAAATCGAAATTGAAAAAGTTACCTGGTTCTCCCTCTCGTGACTCACTGGGGATTCCACCACTGCCTGAATTAACGAGCCCAGAACGAGGGTTTTCCAAAGTATTGGTATTTGGAATTGGTGTTGATGGTGCAACAGGTAACTGGCTGGCAAAGGCCTCAAGAGCTTTATTGACCTGTTGAGCGATCAATTTCTGCAAAACTTCATTGATAGCTTCATCATTGTCAAATTGAGCATTTGCATTTGAGTGGGATCCATCAGGAGTTCCTTCTCGAGACCGCCGAGGCGAACTTTGTGGAGAAGGGATCGGAGTGTGAATATCTTGTGGGTCCCCTTGGAGTTGATGGTTTCCTTGGTTTCCTTGGGTGTTATCGTTAACGTTTGACATGATTGTTGATGTGACAAAATAGATAAGGTTAAGAAAGAATAGATTATCAGATTTCCGGTAACGGAACCAATTTGTTTAACAAAAAAAAATGGAATTTCAGTCAAAGCTTTATTTTTAGAAGAACTCGGGTTACTGATAATGTTTTTGATAACCAATAGATGGCAAAAAACAAAGTAAACCAGTATATTCAGATGATATTGTGTGTCTACAAATGATCAGTCTTCTCCCTTTTATAGCTATTTCTAAGTTATACGTTTTGCCTTTGTCATAATAAGGTCATTATGGCCGATTAAAGGAATTAAATGCTATGTTACAAAATCATTATAATTTAATACAAATTCTCTAATGCTTTCAGTATTTAATGTTTATTAAATACTGTATCTGGACTCTTCTGTACTGCCAGGTTCATTCTTCTCAGCTTTTATACTTGAATAGGTACGAGCGTCGAGTCTTTTTGAATATCGTCCTGTGCCTCTTCTTGCGTTTCTGCTCGTATCTGTTGCAACTCGTGCCTCTTTGCTTATCATCATTCTTTTGACCAGCCCCAGTGTCATGACACGTCATCTTTCAATTACTTTAATATGTAAGTCTAATTTTTCCCAATACATGTATATCACTATGTATAACACATCAAATAATATGTATATCAAAATGTATATCTCACCTTTATTTTCCGTCTTTGTATATATTAAGATGTATATCAATATTTTTTTTTCTTTTTTGTAAATCTCAGTGTACAATATATCTCATGTATATCAGTGATATCTCATGTACATCATGTGTATCTGTGTATATCCATGTAAATTTGTGTTATATATACGATATACAATGTGATGTGCACGGGCGTCCATATAAAAATTATGTTGTATACGCAATATACGAAGTGATATACACAGACGTCCTTAAAAACTTGTGTGTGATATACACTCATGTACACGATATACAATGTGACATACACATGTCGCAGTTGGGTTTTTAGGTCTGATTTTTTACCTGAAACCAGTCTAAATCACTTATAATCTTGCTCAAATTTTGTATATAGCCTCGTTTAGGTATTTTCAACCAATTTCAATCACACCCACTCGGTCAATCCAACTAAAAAGAAGAGTGTTGAAAAACAAAGTTGAAATATATTTTTTCTCTCTTAGTTTTTGCTTCTGATTTTCTCTGATGTGAGATCAACCTTACCTTTTCATCCCACTGTTTTTTTTTATACATAATTTGCAGTAATTTTTGCTAAACTAGGAGAGCGAAAGAGAAGAGATAGAAGAAGAATACAAGGAGAGAAAGGGGGAGAGAAGCCAAAATAAGCGTGTAGTTTTTTTTTAGAGAAAATATATAAGAGAGTAGTTTTTTAGGATTTGGCTATATAATTCCAATTGTTTGGGGCTATCTTTGCCAAATCTAATATAATAAGGCTAAAAAATTGCCAATTCTTGTTATGTGTTGTTATAGAATGCCAATTTTTCTTCTAAATACCAGGTGTCATTTGGGGCATTTGCATCTATACCCGCTTTTTGGGTCACGTTTTAACTTGTGCCCGCTTTGCAAAAAAAATTACAAGCGTACCTACTTTTTCGCGTAACTTCAGCATACGGGGCTGAAGTAGCAAAGGCAATCACGCAAAACTTCAGCATTCTAGTAGACGGGACTAATGTAGCAAGTGTGCTGAACCAAGTGTGCTGGAGTTTTTGTTTGTAATTGCTGAACTTAAGCATAGTTGCTGAAGTTTTGTTCTTTATTTGCTGAAGTTTTTGTTTTTAATTGCTGAAGTTTTTGTTTTTGTAACTGGCGAACTTCAGCTCTAGAGCTGAAGTTTTTGTTTTGTAACTGGCGAACTTCAGCTCTAGAGCTGAAGTTTTTGTTTTGTAGCTGTCAAACTTCAGCTCTAGAGCTGAAGTTTTTGTTTGTAACTGGCGAACTTCAGCTCTAGAGCTAAATTTTTTGTTTGTAACTGGCGAGCTTCAGCTTTCTTAGAGTTGAACTTCAGCTACTACATTGTGAATGCTCCATATATCTTTTCAGCTTGTTTGAAGGTTTGTCTCTTATTTATGTCTTTTTCTTTTTCAGTATACTCTTTTATCAATTATTTCTTGCAAATTTAGTAGAGATTACATGTTTTGAATGACTAAATTCTCTAATATGTTGTAACATATGAATTCATTAGGTCGTCAAGCCTCTGCTACAGGAGAGGACAAGAAAAAAGCTGAAAAGCTTTGAATTTCTTCTAATGGAACTATCGGATTGAGGACGGATATAACTTTGAGGAGGAGAAGGAGGAGGAGAAAGGGGCTGAGGTTGTTTAAAAAGTGGGTACAAGTTAAAACTTTTTTAAAAAATGGGTATAGGTTAAATGGGGGTGACCAAATAGGACGCCCCGTGCAATTTTTACGTGTCATTTCTACTCTTTTAAAAGTTCTTGACCCAATCTCTAAAATCCCAGCCCAGCCCATCTGCATCCTTTCGTATTTGTTAGCCCACTATCAATTAGCTTCCCGCCATGCACTTTCAATCTCCCTCCAACTTCAACCAGTAAGAAGACAATGTAATAAGGAAACAAAACCCTATCCTAAATTTCAATCGTCAGTTTCTCAGAAAAAATGTCGAAATTAAATCACCAAAAAGACCTGGATCTCCTTCTCTCTCTACCAGATAGGGTTTTAGAAACCCCTCCAGCTTCTCCTTCATCTAATTTCCCAGGTAAATGTCCAAAACATGTTATAAGATTTATTACAACTAATGCCCTATTGCGGGTTTTAGAATCATGTGCTTTCTTCAATTCATATGTTTTTTCTGTAATTAGATGGAGCCAAATAGAGCTGAACTTTCAAGAAAACGAAATCATTTATTATTTATGTAACATCAAAGACTGACCTTGCACAATTATTTTGGTTCATATTTTATGGTTTAGAGTTCTTAATGTTAAAAGATTGTCACAAAAATTATTTCATTGCTAAAATGGTGCACTCATTGTGCGAGCAGCATATACTAGACCTTACCTGATTTTGGATTAAGTTGTGGTTTATTATTTGATGTTTCTGGATAAAAATCTGTTGGATTGGAAGATGTCTTTTTTGTTGACCTTTTGTGGGTTGTTTTGAAAAATTTGTATCTTTTACAGATTATTTGTCGGATGATGGATCGCCAAAGCGATCGAGGGAGGCAGATATGTCTGTCTTTAGAGATGCTGTTCAGGATTGTCTTGATTATGATACTGAAATTGCCAAAAAAGCTGTCAAATCAAAGCATACCAAGGGGTCAAGTGATCTTGAGGTTGAAAAATTCTCAGGTTTGCGAATTCGGTATGTTCTTTGAGACTTTGACATGGTTATGGGTGCATATCCAATGGGTTCTTGTTGCATTCTGATTCGCTATTCATTTTCCTGTAAAATGCATAATCAGTCTCTTTCTGCTACTATTAGAATTTGAATGATGTTGGCTTCTTATGTTTCAATAAGTTCTGCATAATAGTTGCCTGACAGTCAAATTCTGATGAGAGGAAGTCACAATTAAGTATAATATTTTGGCTTCTTAAAAAGGTCATCAGATGCTTGTGACTTGCAATTATTATGGTTAGAAACGCCACATAGTTTCTTGTATGTTTAATTTCGATAATTGAAAAGTGGAGGCCAGATTAGATTGTTATTGGTGAAGTAGTAGTTACATTTGATTTTGATTGGTTTGAGCTAGCTGGTAGCTTCAGTCTTAATGCTGTGCCAAGCAAATTACAAATGAATGCTTTGTTTAGCTACTGAACTGGCAACTGATACTTTACCTTTCTTTTCCTTTTACTCAGAAATCAACTAGTTTCAGCTGTTGAACTGAGCAACCATTTTGCTGATATTAGGTTCATCCGGTTATCAGCAATAAGGTATGTTAAGATGCTGACCGAGTTACTAGAGTAGTTTCTGTGGACTATGTAATCATATATTTTCCTATCTTTAAGGAATTCGCTAGCAGGCGACACCCTTTCTGGTTGTTGGGCAACTGTTGGCGTTTTAACTGAGAAGGGGCAACAAAGAACAAGTTCAACAGGGAAGAACTACGCAATCTGGAAAATGGGATCTTTGGATGAAAAAACTATTTCTCTTTTTCTTTTTGGTGATGCTTATCAGAAGAACTGCAATGAAAAGGCTGGTGCAGTTTTTGCCCTATTCAATTGCAGTGTGCGCAAAGACAACTCGGTATTGTTATCATTGGCTATCAATAAAATCATTTCTGTTAAGATTTTAGGGTGGGTTGCTAAAACCTCTTCAATGGCCCTTATCCAGGAAAATGGGTTTTCTTTGAGTGTTTATTCAGCCAGTCACATTTTAAAGATTGGCACGTCTGTGGATTATGGAGTTTGCAAGGGAAAAAGGAAGGATGGGATGGCTTGCACATTAGTCGTTAACAAGTACGATCTCCAATTTTATGTGTTGTTTACATGCTCATAGTCATAAATGGACTGAATACCTTCAGGCATAACTACTATAGAATTGCAAAATACAATAAGTTGCTCAAAAGATCCATCATAAAATGTTTCGCTATCTACTTATGTCTCATCTGTGTTCTGGAGGCTAGCTCTTGATTTGATGTTTTCTTTGGGAAGTCCAAAGTAATGCCTTGTATCAGAAACACTAGGATGATTGTTTTAGAGATCTCATAGACTTGGGGGGTGAAGGTGATCTTGCCTGGTCATTCTAACATAGTAATTTGTACAAAAAATTTTGAAATCACTAACACTTGCACAACAAGAATGACGTACTACTGCTCATCACAGTTCTCATTTGGATAGCATTCATGTTGGTTGGTTTTGATTTGCTCCAACAATGATAGTTTGTGCTTTTCGATTCGGGTTGAGCAGATACTTTTGCTAGTCCATTCTGCCAGTACTCAAAACAGAATGTTCAGTTTAACAAATGTCTCATCTCTATGTTGTAGTCTTCACAAGGCAAGAGTGCAAGAATCTAAAGTTTAATCTTGTAAAAGAAGCTAATCATACATATAAAATGGCTACTGTCTTTGGTTGGTTAAATTGTGTACAGAAATAAAAAGGTTGCCCTTCTTTAGAAGAAGGAAAAGGGAGATTCTCACATTCAAATCAGAAACACAGTCCAGAGCTATTTATGCAAATTTCATGCTCAAATCAGAAACACAGTCCAGAGCTATTTATGCAAATATCATGAGCATGATTTGCCTTTTTTGTGGACGTTAAGGAAAGAAATAGCATGTTTTTACAGCATTTAGTTTTCTGCTCCCTTAACAAATCAGTTGATAGTGCTTATGCAGGGGATCTTTAGTAATCCTTCTTACCAAAATTATTGTACCTATCATTGCATGTTGAATAATCCAGTAATAACCTGTAATTTTGTTGTACTCCTTGTAATAGAACTTATGCTTTAATAACATTTGCAGGCGGCGTGGAACATATTGCAGCTACCATAAGCAGGTAACCAACCTACACCAGTCCAGAAATACGTTGTAAATTAAGTGTGCTTGGCTCCCACCCCCCCCCCCCCCCCCAACCCTTGCCCGGGGGGGGGGGGGTATTCTCTTTGACTGAATCTTGATTTACTATCGAAAGAAAGAAAGAACTTATCCTGTTTTTGTTACTTGTTCTTTTAGAGAACATCTGAGAAATACTCCAGTACAACAAGGGCTGAACTCAAAGGGGGGTGAGTTATTAACTTCTCAACCTCTCAATTTTGCATTTGGAGGATAGCGAATTTTTTTCCCTCAGGACTTACTCTAACCTCTCTAATTGCTGTTGGACTTCAAATTCAGGAACCTACAAACGGGTTTCAGAGATCATCTCAAGTCAGAAGGAATTTACATGGTTAAGCCTTTAACTGACAAGACAAACTTTACAAAGTCTGCAGCACCGTTGAAATTACTGTCTGTTGATGGATTGAAAAAGGCATTAAGGTTTGTTCAAAGTACTTAGTAGTGACATAGCTCTAAATTTAACAATTCTTGGCTTGCATATTGGTTATCTTCATTGTTCATAGTCATTACTGACTTAAAAGACACTTATTTATGAACAGCAAAGCGGGGAAAGTGACTACCAATGTACATTCTCAAGGAATAAGGTTTCTTAGTCAAATGACAGGTAAAAACTTTAGTACTTGGACCTGAATACTCCTACATCTATCAGAGACATTCTTACTTATGTTTTTGATCATTACAATTCTATTTGAGTTACAGGAAACTTGAACTCAAGTAGTACCAAAGAATCTATTACTGACCAAGATCACACAAAAAATAGGACAAACGAAAGGTGAAAGACTGGAATAAAAAAGACTTCATTTTTTGACCTTATGTTGTGTTATCTATTTTGGTGACAGAGTTATCTACTTTTTTCCAGGTCATCTTCCACCAAGAGAAAGAATCTAAGTGAAATCAGACCAAGTCATAGTTTTGAGCACAAGAAACCAAAAGTGGGGCAGCAGCAGCAGAATTCAGCACAAAAACCTGTGCAGGTTAAAGAAAAAATGATAGAACTAGACCTTGTCAGTTCAGATGATGAACTTTAGATTTACCATATACTATGCTAGTGTTTGTAATCATCTGATGTCCTGTTTAATATATTCTTTTTCCTCTTTCATTTCATACAGTAAATTCTTAGCTTGTTGAATATGAACTTCTACTCTTGTTACAATGGTGCTATCACTTGCATACCTAATTGCAGGAGATTAATAGCCTGTTTGGCCAAGCTTTTCCAAATCCAAAAGCACTTTTTTTCAAAAAAAAATATTGTTTTTTCAAAGTTGAAATGTTTGGCCAAGCTTTTAGAAGAAAAAAAATTGCTTTTGAGTAGAAGCAATAGCAATTTTGGAGAAATAGAAAAAAAATAGCTTCTTTTCAAAAATACTTTTTTGAAAAGCATTTTTGAGAAAAATGTAGAAGCAATTTTTAGAAGTTTGGCCAAACACTAATTGCTACTTAGAAATATTTTTCAAATTAATTAGTTAAATACAAATTGATTCTCAACAAAAGTATTTTTGAGAAAAAGCACTTCTTAAAATAAGTTGATTTTTGCAGCTTGACCAAATAGAATATACCTCTCCGTTCTATTTTATGTAAACCTATTTCCTTTTTGGTCTGTTCCAAAAAGAATGACTCCTTTCTAAATTTGGAAACAATTTAGCTTAAATTTATAATTCGGCCCTTAATGAGAAACTTTTATAAAATACAAATACTCTGGCCCCTTTTTTTAACTTGTTTAGAATCATAAATTCCAAAAGTCTTCATTTTTTCTTAAACTTCGTACTTAATCAAACATGTTTACATAAATTGGAACAGAGAGAGTAACTTTTATGCAATGAAGTGTAAGAATCAAGTCGCTAAAAGTCAACTACAAGTAATCGTTAATAAACAGTGAAATAGTAATTCGAAGAATATATTTTTAACATGTTAAAATATACTCAAAACATAAATTTTTTAGTATATGTTATTGATGTGATCCATACGTAGGGTAGGTCATGCATGCACATGGGAGTTTGTTTGTCTTGAGGCCATGTGCACCCAAAAATTCCTAACCTTGCCAAATATGTGTACGTTATGGAATTAAGATAAGTTTTATTAATGTACAATTAGGTGAATGACTAAAGTCTAAGATTTGGATTCCCAAAAAGAGTTAGTAGGCAACTGAACCCTGTCTTATAAGGGGCAATTAATTATACAAAATATGAATCTCATTAGGCGTTAGGTAATGGTGTTGACAGTGGATACACAAAAAATTTGAATTTAATTTTTGGCTTTTCCTTTTTATTTTTCTGCAGAATCATATGCTTCTCTTTTTTAATAGGAAAATTTTGTATATTATATTCATTCGAAATGCTTATGTTTTTTCATTAGCATTTATAGGGTAGGTTGAACTCTGCATTATTTGATGAAATTACCCTTCAGTAAGGGAATGGTTTATGGCTTTTAAATTTGGAAAAAGGGCCAAATTTTCCTTTCTACGATTTCGATTTTTTTTAATTTTGCTCTATGATATACTATCCGTTCAAAAAAGCCCCGATACTATTTAACGGTCTATAAATACATTCTCCACTAACGGGAAAAACTTTGATAATTTTTCAACATGGATGCCACGTGGAAAATTGTTTCTTACGTAATTATATTCAATTTGGAGCAATTTTTTTCCCATTATTAGCCGATTTGGAGCAATTTTCGTGATGGCTTTACTTTTTCAACTTTTCACTTTAAATCATTTTCCTCTTTAATTTGTTTAGACTTGAGTTTAAAACACAATTGCCAAACAGCAAGTTGTAGCACCTTATAAGTGACATTATATTGTGGTAAAATATGACATTTTGATTTTGTTAATTACTTATCTGCAGTTTTAGTTGGATCTTAGTTCTGATAAACTTAACTGACTAGTGATCTTCATTAAAGATAATACATGGTGTTTGCCCAAAAGTTATTACATATCTTATGAGTATAAAACAATACAAATGAATCACGGGAAAATCATAGCAAATCGTAATAATCCGTTGGACCAAATGAAAGAAACGAAAATAAGTACTCAGGATTAGGGGGAGAAACATTAGAAACCTTTATTGATAACATTTGTTTGGTCTGCCTCTCCATGAAGAGGTTCAGAGCCTTACAATGGTGTTTTCTCTTCCCATAAGATGGGTATATTTTTTCTTCTCTCTCTTGTCCATAGTGGTGAAGAAGCAGCCCCTTTTCTAGGGCTTCCACTCTTAGTATTTATAGATGTGAGCTTCGTGAGCTGGCAATAAATGGCCGTGGCCACGCTGAGGTTCCGTCCCCATGGGGGAATGAATGGGCCGTGCCCTCGTAGATTCAATCGGACAAGAGTCGAATCCTCTTATAAATAAGTGGCTATACCACTTATTAATTATGGATTAGCTCAAGATGAGATTAACTCCGTTAATTACCGTGAGGTCAGATTCTGACTCATACAGTTAGTCCCTCCGCTTATTGAGGTCGTGTTTCGGCCGAGCTCGATGAGCGGATTTCATCGATTGTGATTTGAAAAAACTCGAATAAGGGGGTCGACTTATTGACGGCGGCGGCATTAGTCGTTTACACGTTGGAGATGGCCGTAGCCTTTCATATATTGGAGGTGGCCGTAGCCTTTCATATAATGGCGATGCCCGTAGCCTTTCATATGTTGGAGAGCCTTTCATACATTAGAGATGGCCGTAGCCTTTCATATATTGGGGGTGGCCGTAGCCTTTCATATGTTGGAGATGACCGTAGCCTTTCATATAATGGCGATGGCCGTAGCCTTTAATATTTTAGAGATGGCCGTGGAGAATGAGTATGCGCCGGATACGTATTTGGTCACGTCCAGAATTTTGAAGGCGTACGGCGCATTCTTTCAGCGTTCGCAGGCCATTGCGATTATTCTGACGGCGGGACGTTGGCGGACGGCTGAGAAGCCGCTTCGCGGAGCTTGTCATAATGACGCATGCTTCGGCAGAACCGAACCATTTTACGGTTGGTCGTGCAGTTAATGATGGCTATCGGGTTTCGCGAAAGCCATTTATGTTGCCTATAAATATGGGTTGAGGCATTCATTTCTCATATCTTCATTGTTCATATGAGAGAGATCCTGAGGAAACTTTTTCGTTCTGCTAATTCATCTTCTCCTTTCTTTCCTTTGATTGTGATAACCTTTGTCTTGCCCACCGAAGTCTATCCCTTTCTCTTTAGTAGATCAACAATGGCAGGTAGTTCTTCCCACGATGCTCTTCCGATAGATTTTCCGGTAGTTGAAGGGCCACCTCCGGCAATGGGAGGTGCAGAACAGATAGAGACCGGAGACGTTCCGTCGGTTGACGAGGTAGTTCCTCGGCCCGGAGGTCTGGCGATTGATTTCACTGTCGACGGTGGAGAGGACCGGGTGGATGAAGCCCCGTTAATGGGGGAGATTGGGATGGCCCGATTACGGGAACAAGGGGTCATTCCCACCCATGCAGACATCGTTCTCGCTAGAAGCGAGGAGAGGGTCCACACCGACCGCAGGGGATACTGCATTTTTTACGCCTATCCTTTCAGGTTGGGGTTCAAGACCCCGCTCCTAATGCTGGTGGTGGATTTCTGCCGTTATTACGGGGTGTGCCCGGGTCAGCTCACTCCTTCCCTGTACAAATTGTTGGCAATGTTTATCAAGTACGCGGAATTGGCCCGTAGGGATGTCACGCTGCAGCATGTGCTTAGTCTCTACGCTCCCCAGAGAGTCCGTGGCACCATGATTCAGGCGTGCCCTCGTGGGTCGAGGGGCCTGGTCATGAGATTGGATGACGAGGTCGACCCTCGCCCTTTCGAGCACTTCTTTTATATCAGGACCAAGCATCTGGTGGCGGATGCTACTGAGTTCCCAGAGGCTTGGAACCATGCACGTAAGTTCTTTAGTGGTTGAATTCCCTTTTCTTCCCCTCTTTATGATTTGTGATCATGAGCGTTAACTCGTGTCGTTTTTTGTAGCCGACAGGTCGCCGCCGGCCCCATTGTCTTGGATACGTGAGTGGGTCGAGGCCGTACTCCCCCATACGGTGGGGATACGCACATGGGCGTCTTTCTGGGAGAGGCATGGCCGTAGGCCTGTGGCAGGTAAAAAATTGATTTCTTCTTCTGTTCCGCTTTGTTTCAACTCTATTCATCAACTTTGTTTTCCTGTGATCAGGGAGGGCACGCCGCGTCAGGGCCCCTCAGTTGGCCTTTCGTCGGCCGGGTGCAGTCGCTCGTCTTACTGCGGCGCCTGTGTCGCGCTCAATACCGAGGGCGGCATCAGTTGAATCTTCAGCGGTTCCTTCTCCAGCACGGTCCGCGCTTCGGGACGAGGGGCCATCGGGGGTTGTGCGCCCTAGGGCGGAGTCGTCATCAGATGGGGAGGAGGAGAGGTCGTTGATAAGGCGTAGGGTCGCGTTCACGCCGGCTCCTCCTGTGGTAATTAATTTGGACTCCCCCCCGGCGGACGCGGAGAGGAGTGCGGCAGCGGCGCCTGCCCTTGAGGGCGGACAAACAATGGGGGTTGCCCCGGTTGGCTTAGGTCGTGATGATACCGTCGCTTCGGCGACTCAATTGGTGGTTCCAGTCGCTGAGACGGGAGGTAGTTCCTCAGCGGCTGCTAATGTGGGTGAGGCAAGCGCTCCTACGGTGGCTATTGCGGGTGGTTCTACCTCGCCGATAGCGGAAGGAGGAGGGGATGCTGTAGGAGATGAGTACGAGTCCGAATCCGACTTGGACCCCGACGACGTCCGTATGTTCTAGGAAGGCTTCACCAATTCAGTGGTGCGCGCAGAGGGGCGATCTCGCTTCATCGAGGTTCCCACGGAGTTGAACTTATTGCTCCAAGGGGAAAGCTTGGTGCCGCAGTTCGAGCTGCTATGCTCGGAGGCCGAGAATGCATCGTTGAGGGGCGTTACGGATATCGGACTGATGAATGAAGTAGCCGTGATGGGCTTGAGGGTATGTACTATTACGTCGGTTCGCTTCTTCTTTGCCTTAGTTTGTTCTTTATCTTAATCGTTGTCTTTGCTTTGCAGTCTTATTTGTTGGAGGTGGAGAGCATCCGTCGAGCCAAAGTCCGCTCGGGGATATTTTTGCGGGCGCTGGAGAAGTATCGCCGCTACCGGGATCAGTGCCGAGAGTTGCGCGTGCGCTTGAGGAATGATC